CAGGTCGTTTTGGGAAACTAAAAAAAGGTGATGTTCTTCCTGAAGAGCAGTGGCTTTCTCCACGTTATCATTCTAAACAAGCTATTCTTGTACAGTCTTTGCATGATGGTGGACTCATGAACAATGACATCAGCCAATGTAAGAGAAACCTACAGATCCTTAGATGTTACCCTGGCATTCTTTGTGGTCTCCCTGAATGTTATATGCCATACACGTTTTTGTTAGATGACCACTCCTGGGATAGGTTAACAGTGGTGTTGAATTTCCTTCATTTGTACATCCTCTGCCTGATACCGGTTCAGTGAAGTTTAAACTCTTCAGAAACAGTACTGGACCCTCTTTCAGCGTAATGAGCACTGACTACTGTTTTTGTCTGAGGGCCTCAACCTCAAACCTAATGTGACTGATACATGGAATGTACTAACAAATGTAAGTGGTAAATACGAGATTTTAATGGTGAAGACTTGATGTTTTTTAAAATAGGCTAGGCTCAGCCACACTCACACCTGACTGTCATCTAATTGACTGAGGGTGCTGCTCTAATTATCCCCATATTAAACTGATCATTTTAGAGGTTCACATACTTTTGCCTGCCAAACTGTACAATGCTGAATCACTTTGTTCAATGAATGTATGAAAAACTATATAATTGCTTATGTTATTTATTTTACTGAGTTCTCTTTATCTATTGTTATCACTTAAATGAAGATCTGATCTCATTTTAGACCAAGCTTATGCAGAAATTCACATAATGCTAAAGCGTTCACATGTATGTAGCAGTTTTAAAGTGACTCTTTCAATAAAGGGTCCTGATACAGAGCTGCAGCTGTTTCACATTTCTAACACCTGACTGAAACCTGGTTAGACTATGGCTCACACTCACAGTCAGTGATCTATCTGAACTTCCAGAAGGCCTAGAGTGACATTTTTTCTCACTTAATTTGATCCCACACATTAAAAATCAAAACATGATTAGTTGCTTGTTCTGTCACTTTCTCTGTATGTTGATAGTTAATCAAATGTGTAAGGCCTTCAGTCCAGCTCCTGAAGCCTGAACTAATAGAAAAGCTTACTTTGCAGTCTCTCTCTTGATACCACAGGGAAAAAAAAATGCTGATTGGATATTTAAACCTTTTGTTTTGAACTAAAACGTATACAAAAATTACTACAATACCTGCAGTGTTTAAACACACAAACATGACAATTCTCTTAAATAAAATGAACTGCAAGTTAGACATGGATTCTTTGTTCCAGGAAGTTATTAGGTTATCTCTCTCTCTTTTCACTTCTCTGTCCTCTATTCATTGTAATTTAATTTATAATTCTAAAACGGTGCTGTAATATATGGTGCGTTGAGGCAGGATACATTTGCTGACTATCTTTATTTAGGGCAATCCAACTCTTCTAGTTGCAGGCAATGGTTAAACCACTAGCAGGCAGGAACAAATCCATAATCAAAACCAGAAAACAACAGCGCTAGGGGAACAACCACAAAGAAAATACTAGAAACTACCGGGAAGAACGAAGAACAAGGCCTACGCAGATATGCAGTTTTCGCAAAATAAGCAAACCAAACAACAAGGCTGTGTTCCAAATAGCAGACTGCGTACTGCACCAGTATATACTGTATACTGCATGCTACTCTTCATAGAAGTATACAGCAGTATGACAGATCTGGATCTGTCAATGTGGTGAAATTGTGTGGTTTCCTGTTTTCCTATGTTTGCATAAGATTGAAGATTTCCTTTTTACTACGTTTGCAGCTGCAACACCAGCTGATAATAAGCAGCGTGACTCCACACATGAGCCTGAAAAGCCTAAGCTGAGCAGACTGTTTGGATCAGAACAACTTTAGTAAGCTACAGTCTTAACCACATTATCTATGCTCACTTTAAGTTCACTTTATTAAATAGATAAAGTAAGCAAACCCACCTTAAGACCAGCAGAGAAAACTGCAGAGAGGTTTCAGCACTGCACTGAGTTTCGTAGCAGGACAAATAATTTAATTTCATGCCATTTATGCATCCATATAGGGCTGAATCCCAGGGCTATTCAATTGTTTGGGGCTAACTAGACATCTACGTCTGTGCTTATGTCCTCCTGAAATGATCGTGTTGCATTTTGGGATGCAGTATATCATGGAATAGCTCAGGCCTCTTACTGGAAAGTTTGTCCAGGGCAGTATGTTATACAGCTATCTTTGCTGTATTGGCCTTATACTGCATACTGCTTACTACTTTTGTGCACAATCAGTATGCAGTACGCAGCAGCTATTTTGAACACAGCCTGACCCCAAAGATTAGTTGCAGGTGTGTGTGGTCACGAGTGGAGCTGGAAGTGGTGAGAGCCAAAGCAAAATGGAAGAGTCCATGTGCTGGGAGACCCTAGCTGTGCCTCAAAGCTAAGGATTCAGTGGAGGTAGGAGAGATCTTCCTAGCACTGGGATACGAAGGCTCCTCTTAAGCAGGCTGTACTGACACATGGCAGCTAACTGATGTAAACACTGTGACACATTTAAATCTTAAAAGTTACACTTCATTAAAATTTGTTATGAACTCTGGTGCCGTACCATCTCACCACGTCTGATTGTTTTTCTCATGTTTCAAATTGTTTTGAGTGGTGTGTGAAGGATTGCGGGAAAGTGAAAGTCTTAACAGTTACACCATCTGTGTCCTCAAATTTGGATGCATTTCTTGGGTCACAATTGAATCATCCTACAAAACAGAAGAGCCTTCAGTGTCAATGTTGGAGAAATGCAGCCTTCCTTGGCTCCATCCTTAGCTCTGAAACACAGCTACTGTGAGAAGTGCACGGCTACTGAGTAAACCCCATATCAGACATTTTCAATAGAGCAACTGAAGTTATACTGGGTTATTATTCGGTCATCTTTCTTTATGTCTGTTGCTCAACACTGCACAGAGACATGATGACAAAAGAGAATTAACAACTAACTAACTAACTAACAATTAACTTGCAAGTAGGAACAGCATGTTATCCATTACTGGCACTACTAGGGTGTTTAGTAAATTTAGTAGTATGTAAATATATTTTGAATATTAGCAGAAATGCTTAACTAAGAATTATGGTTCATTCATTCTCTTTCATAAGGTCCATTGCAATTTTAACCTAGTAAATTGCTCTGATTTGAATCAATCTGTCCTTGAGATATTTATTTTCATGAATTTGTACAGACTGTGTAAAGAGAAATTCACTAACACCACAGAGAATTAAAGAGCGAAATCAGTGATATTGCTGCCAGTAACTGACTGTAATTACCGAAAGATTTTACAGTTATTCTTTCTACACTGTTAGAAATAAAGGTTCTGTGCAGGTACACTTTTCATTCATCAAGCTACAAACAATGTAAATGATCCTTCAAATGTACAACAGTGGGTTTAAGGTCCAGTTGTGTACCTTCAATAAGATTTTCCCAGGTGAAAAGTACATATTTGTACCTTTTCATAACCTGATGTTAAAACAGAACAATAAAACAAAAAGACTGGAGATGAGACGAAATACAGCTTAGAAAATATAATTTCAATGGATTATGGTACAGTTATGCTAAGGGTACCACCCCAGTGACAAGAGGGCTACTTGCCCAGTAACGGTTTCAGACCTGTATCAGACCTAAGAGTGTAGAGGAGCATGGAGGTTCACACTCTCACTGTTCCTCAGATTCAGCTCTATTTAAATCTGCCATAAGACTTTCTCAACAATCTGTGACTTCCCCAACACTCTCAGTTGTCACGACAACTGACATAACATGTTTATAAAAGCATATTCCAACAAAAATCATTTGCTATGAAGGTTACATCTGCAGATTTTGATCCGAGTTATCTAAAGTAGCCTTTATGACAGATCATTCCTATTTGGAATAAGCATTTACAGACATTTATGTAGCGTAATGTATTTGTCATGACAAGCTCATGTAGGTGTCGTAGCCTTATGAACAACACTTTACAGTGAAGTGTTACCAAAATATTATTACACAATTGGTAAAGACATTGTATAACAATATTAGGCAAGTTACTACATTATAGAGCATTATGACATTTTTGATCAATTTAAGTGCAAAACTGCATTTCAGGATGTTAATATTACATTATGGGGAAATTGTTACATTATCATTATTGGAATCTACAGTTTGCAGAGCTCACTTAAAGCTTACTTTGCTAGCTTCAGATAGGCTACTACATTTAGCTAATTTCCGTAGCTAATACTACAGCTTGCTAACATTAATTTTAGCAAATATGCTAACACTGATGTTGGTTTTCCTCTGAAATGTTGTCAAATATTTAAAAAAGTGTCCCGAATTACTGTTGACCCCACATTTAGAGGAATTGTCCAGCAATTTTTGACCTAATCTGCCACATGGCATTGTGCGATTACAATAAGTAATGCTGTTGCTGAAGCAGCTGCCCATAGGCTTCTATTAAAAGTGCATTTTGTGTACAGGTTTTCTGGTCTTCAGGGGAATTCCACCAATTTTTCTAAATTTCTGCAACGAAATCATCGTGATTAAATCACTGAGAAATAAACAAAAGTCATTCAGAGTGGTTTAATGTGAAACGCTGCACTGTAGAGAAACATACTGACTTAGATTTCTTTACATTACTTGGTACCCATCTGCCATGAATGGATTAAAAAAAACATGTTTGCCTAAATCTTATCTCTACCTATTATAAAACAATGTCTCAGGCATTTCTAACCACTTTATTTAACAACTCTCTGACATAGACAGCTTTGTGAAGCTTTAAACTCCTCAGATATCTGGTTCCTATTACCACCACTCTGATCTGACTCTGTACATTTGTCTAGAACAGAGTCTTTGACACCCAACCACTCTGAATGACTTTGTTTACATCTTAAACATTTAATTACGCAGAAACTGTTCTCTATGTTAATCCACTATATGCTACAGATCAAATAGCTACAGGTCATAGGACATTAAATTTGTGTGTGTGAGCGTGTTGTGTGTGTTGTCAGAGTTGTGCACTTACTGTAAGTGCTGAGCAAACTCTCAAACTGGGCCACCACCCCCACTGAGTGCAGCTGTCTGAGGAAGCCCCTATCCTCGACTCCGGCATAGAGCCGCATGACAAAACCGCAGGCTAACGCAGCCAACTGTGGAGAGAACACAGACACAAGAATGCAGGGAATTTTGCATTATTCTTTCAGTAACTATGAGCAATAAGCAGAACAATTAGTCATCACACACTGGCTTCTCCAAATGTAAAAAAAACTATTCTCACTGCCTCTTTTGACAGTCAGGCGCTCTGGCAACAGAATACAGGATGTTGGACTTCTAGTAACAAATTCTAGCAGACCTTTTCCCCTCCAACCAAGTGCTTCTTCACTCCCTAGACATCAGCATTTCCTGTAAGTCCTGTTTTTAATAATAAATAATTGCTAAAAAATAGCATTTCCTTCATACTTTGTCCTTTTAAGGGGCCCATAATCTAGATTGTATTTTATTTCCAGTCCATTTATAACATTTGCATGGTTTTATGCACCAAAAGTACAATTCTTTTTTATGTGGCCATTTTCCAAACTCAACTTATCTCTTACAATCAAACAGGTTGTTATTTGTTACTGTGCTGCCTTTAAGACAAGATATATTTATAAATGATCTCAGTTTTAACTAACTGACACTGTACTGTGCCTCGTTCAAAACACACTCAGGGCTGTAACACTCCTTACAACTTCAGCGTGAGTGGATGGGGCTTAACGGCTCTAGATTGGATTGAATAGGTAGATTTAAGTAAATATGCTAATTTTTTTATGACATCAGCAGAAATAATGAATTCCAACATGCTGTTTTGCAGAATAGTGGACTGTATGGACTGGGTAGTGATTTTGACATTTTAACAATGTTTACATATTACTTCAAACTTTTCAAAAATTTGGTTTTCCATAATATGGGCCCTTCGACATGCTGTAGTAAAATGCAGCACTTGGTTCACTTCTGAGGTATCAATCCTTTGTTTTTTTTCTATGCAATTAAGGCAATCAGTGTCTCCACAATGAAAAGTATGAGGCTTTGATTTACTTTAAATGGTTGCATGAATAAACACACATATTGTCTGTAATACTGAGGAATCATTTGAATCAGGTAAATTCAGTGCATTACTTTTTCAGTGTAGAGACATGCAGAAATAAACAGCAGCGAGTAGCAGACCATAAAACCTTTTCATTTATCTGCTAGGAATGCTTTCATCTAGAGTTTTACAATGGGGCTGCACCCTCCTGTTACATAGCCTGAAGCACAAAATAATAATCAGAGCTGGCAGAAGAGAATTAGTGATTAACTTGAGTGTTTAAGAGGACAATCATTTCCTTATAGATGTTACTGAAGTCAATTATAACCCTTCCTGTTCTGAACTGCTCTCTCTTCTACTGTAAACAGAAAAGCAGAAGTTGATTTAAAGTGTTTTTGAGGTTTGAATTGATGTTATCTAGAGGGTCACAGGAAAGAAATGATAATACCCTCCTGGAAATACACAAAAATATAATGATTTATTTTCACAACACGATTTACAACCTGAATCAAGTTTTAATTCCAGAGCAGTTGGATGGAGTCTCTAAGGTGACACAGTGATTATTTTGGTAACACTTTATTTGGAGTGGTCCTTTGTAGGCGATTAATAAACTCTTAACAGAGAATCAGTAACACATCAGCAATGTCTCAGTGAAGTAGCAGTAGTCAATCTGAATACATTGAAATAAATATCTTGTAGATGTTCTGTTGATACACGACTTACATTAAGTAGATGTGTTGTTAATATGTTACTTCCATCATGCAAAACCTAACCCTAATCCTGGGCCTAATCCTAACCCTAACCTCAACCCAAAACCTAATCTTACCCATCCTTACCCAAAACCTAATCCTAACCCTCATATGTTTTTGACATATATGTTTTGGACACTGAGAGTCCACTGAGCATTTGTTTCATCTAAGGCCCAATCCCATTTCACCCCTTGCCCCTACCACTTAGCCCTTAGCCCTCTGTTTTGCACATTCACGTCTAGAGTTAGGGTGTCCTGATTTTGTTCAGATAGAGGGGTAGGATGAAGTGTTAGGGCTACATGACCCTCCAAACTAAGATTTTTCAGAGACTCACTCCAAACAGAGTGTTATGAGAAAAAAAGAAAAACCAGCCAGATGGCTGCACGAGTGACCAAACAAACCCACAAACGTGAGAATTTCCGCTGTTAAAAAATTATGATAACCATTAAATTATCTTAGTTTAATGTTGTTTCAATGTATTATGGTCATTTTCTTCATGACAAGCAAATTTAAACTAGAACCTGGCAAATAGCGACTTCAGCTTCATATCACTGAAGAATTAGGAATGGGCGATAATGAATAATTGTCTTATTTCCCCTCTTTGAAGGCACATGATGCCCTAAATGTAACTAAAGCCCAGCAGTGAGGTTGCTGCACTTAACCCACCTCTGCTATCACTGAAGACGGGCCGGGTCGCCTGCAGAGCACCGCTA